GATTGAGCAATCTGCTTCTATTGATAGATATACAATTCACTGACTTCAGTGGGGCTGCGTGGCTGGAGCAGAACAGAATCTGACCCAGCATGCTTTTGTCTTTCAGTCTGACTGAACTCCTTTGGGGGAACATCGAGTGCGGAGCCCAAGTCGGCAGGCTGTGTGCGGCGAGAATCCTGAGCACACGGTGTGTATGTGGGTGGGTAGGAATTCTCTTGCCACAGCTGTGGGGCTGCTCCACAGCTCCTACTGCAGCAGCTCCTGGTCTGGCCTGCTCCCAAAAGCTCTGTGAATGACATCGCTCACAAAGCCGAAGTCTTTGCTCTGTAAATTGGGCCCTCCTACGTAGTAGAAATGCACTGGTTGCACTGCACGCAAGGACCTCAATACCTGGAAGGCTGGGGCTAGGATTTGCCCCCAGAGATTTTTTTGCGTGAGCAAAAAGTGACTGCAGGTATGAGTGATTGGGGCTAGTTTTTGTGCATTTGTCCAATTTGTACAGATTCTGTTCAATATTCTGCAGATGCTCCCAAAACCTGACATGGGTGCATTTAAAATATCCCTATGGAATTTAAATAAGTATTGCATTGTGTGCAATTGGCCTTTTGACCCCATTAAACATTAATATGGGCATGTACCACTGTCTTTTGTTACTCTTGAACTTTGTAGATCTGAGACACAGAAAGAATGGGCCATATTCATCACTAGTGTAACTCCATTGATATCAATGGAGTTACCTCAGGAGATTAATCTGGCCCCCAGAATTTTGAGCCTCAACCTGACCTGCAACTGCACCTGTTAATACTAACGGCTCACAGACTATCTTAGCTCAGGTGTCTGGATGAAATGTATGCAGAATGGAGCGTTTCAGGTCGCCTCCTAATTCTTAAATAAATAAAGTTTATCCATGTGAACAAAAAGGCTGGTATTGAAAACCTGAACAGTGACTCAGGGATCCTAATGACCGCCAGTAAAATGCATAAAGCATTCATGTCCTATCGCATCAAAATCAAGAGAGGAATTCAGTTTGGTGGATCTGTATTACAGCAACCCACTTTATAAATGGTAAAGAAAAGACACAGCTTCAGGTAATGGAGGGTGTGGAAGAAAAGAACATT